TAAACCCTGTCTCTTATACACATCTAGATGTGTATAAGAGACAGCGTCTGGTCCGTCCGCTTGCAAGTATGGACTTAAGATGTTAAGGTGTATCCCTTTGAAGCCCTTTAAAACCTGTTTAATAGTGTTTATGGTATAACTGGATACCCCCCCAAAGCCCCCTGGGTAACCCATCACGAAATTGTAAGATAGCGGCAGATTCGAACCGCTCAGAGGCCAAGCGCAGTCCTGGTCCGACATAAGTTTTGTTTTCAACCCTTGCCTCTTTTTTGACCCGCCCGGTTTTCCTGGGCGGGATCCCACCTGCTCGCCCCACCCGGTCAGCCTTCGTTCGGCAGAACAGAAATTTTACGTAGAGTTGAAGTTGTACACCCCTTGGTAGCCGCTCCCTGTAATGATATGGTATTATGGATTGATGATCAATTATATAATTTATATTTCTGAAAAGTTCAATTATGTAATTTATATTTCTTTTTCAGAACTGAGTAAGGTTTATCAAAAGAGAATGACAATGAACAGCCAATCATGGGCCAGGAGACCCATTTTCCTTTCTGAATTGAGTGGTGGTTAACCCATTTTTCTTTCTAGAAACAATTGAGCGGGGTTTGGATAAATCCATAATCAGTATCAATCACCACCAAATTACCAATATCTAAGTTATTTTTGTGCAGTTCAGGCTAACCTGCTGTTGCCATTCCTATGGCCTGTACACTTGTACAGGTGAGTGGAGATTTTTTTCACTGTACGCTTGTAAGAAGCGGAGATTTTTTTCACTGTACGCGTGTAAGAAGCGGAGATTTGTTTAAGGAACATAGAGAAGAAGCAACTCATGTGGGTTGTGTTTTCGTGTGTGGTCGGTCCAAATGATGGTGGTGATGGTTTGTTGGTCTGGATGGGGTACTGCCGATTCACAGCTCTACAAGATGCGCGATGACAAGTATCTTCTCGATATGCAAATGGTCGAAGGTGTTGCCTTCCCCTTTCTAGACATTGTTGCCAGACTCCTGGAGGAGCTGCGGACGCTGTAGCCTTCCTCGTCTCATCGACCAATTTGTCGAGGCTGCAAGGAGGGAGGGTGATTTGTGCGGATGGCAGATTCCATGTGCTTGACAGGTTGCTGTACCTGCAAACGTCGACATTCGCTTCCGAGCTGCAGTCTCATATGGTGTACGCCGCGGTGCGATCACCCTTTGGATTTCATTCAGGGTATTGTTGTGTACGGAACAATCGGCAGGAATCATAGTGGGATCTCTCATGGCCTCGATTGACATCATCCCAGCAGCATCGCTCCATGTTATCAGCTCGGCATCCATTTCTATTCTATGGCTTTGATGTAAATGGCATAAAAAACACACAATGTACCAAGAGTAATATGGGCCCCTTGATGTGTACTAGTTTTCAAAACAAGAGAACCGTTCAACGAGTCTTCGCCATGTGGGCTCGCTGCCATCTGCTTGCGCAGCTTTCTATGATAATGCGTTGTTCGACTTGCACAGATGGTGGTGAGCAGTTGACACAGGCAGATTTCACAGTATTGCTCCGTGTGGCCATACCAAGGAGGGACGGGCCTCGACACTTTGCTTCTGAGCTCGGTTTTGTCCTTTCGATGTACTGTGTGCTCTATGGGCACCGGGTGCCGAACACATTGCCCTCGCTTTGTGAGGAACAGCAGGGTGGAGTGTGTGCTCTTCGTTTGTGTCCCTCCCTGTTGGAACGTGTTGGCGTCAACAGCTTCCAGAGAAGAGGGTCCTGGCGGACGATCAGAATGCTCTGAGGAGAGGTTTGGGGGTTGCGCAGAGTGTGCTCTTCATTTCTGTCCCTCGATGGCGGAACATGTTGGCATCAACAGCTTTCAGAGAAGAGGGTGGTGGCAGACGATCGGAATGCGCTGAGCAGAGGATCGGAGGGTGGGCAGAGAGTGTGCTCTTCGTTTGTGCCTCGCCCTTTCAGAATGTGTTGGCATCAACAGCTCCCAGAGAAGAGGGTTCCGATCGACAATCGGAATGCTCTGCGGAGAGGTTTGGCAGGTGGACACAGAGTGTGCTCTTCGTTTCTGCCCCTCTGTGTTAGAACATGTCGGGAGCAACGGTTCCCAGAGAAGAGTTTCCTGCTAGAGGATCGGAATGCTCCGGAAAGAGGCTGCTGGGTATGCTGTCCTCTGAGCGGAGGGTTGGATGTGAACTGACCCGGAGTGCAGATTTAATGCTAAGGTGTTGTGCTTGCTGGGGTAACCTTGTTATGAAGACCTGATTTGTAACAGGTTCTTGGCGTCCACACGAGGGGTTTAGTTGGCAATGACGGCCAGCGAAACAGCTGTTAGCTGCAGGGTGATCAGGTCTGAGTTGTGGCGCAGCGTTGTGCATGGTAGCACCTTACTTCGGGCCATGTCGAAGAGAATAAAGAGGGGAACATGGGAGAACGGCGGTTGGCAGAGAAGGAGAGGCACGGCAGGTAGGCACATGGCATTGTGTTCGCTCACGTACGTGTGAATGGGGGCAGTGTCTGGCAGAAAGTCCGGCACAGTCTAACGGATAACAAGATTGATATGTGCGGGAAGTACAGGTGGGCTTCTGGGTGAGTTTGAATCCGGAAGTTTGCGCTTTATTCTATTCTCGTCCTGCACTCTTCTTCAAGAAGGCAGTTGTGCGTCCGGCAGTTGTGGTCTGAGTGGTAACTCCCCTTCTCTGTCTGTGCCTTCTTCAAGAAGGGGACCCAGTCGATACAATTTTTTGACCTTTTGTGAAGTGAAATCTTGGGAGGATAGAGAAGGAATTCTGTTGGCCCTTTGAACGCCGATCCTTCTTTATATTGTGTTTATTCTTGTGTGTGCGTGATTGCAGTCTGGTAATGTTCGTTTCAGGCTTTTCCTAGAGTGACGCGAGGTGCTTGTTATCGGATGGCATCTCTCGAGACAGTGTGGGAAATGCTACACGCTGCTGCCTGAATGTGAGAGCGGATACGTTCACCCCCAGGCGCTGCTTGGGTGTGTTTCTGCCTGTTGAAGTAGCAGCTGCATCTCCCGGTGACGGTTTGCCCGAGTGTGCACCCTACGTGTAGTCCTCGTTCACGTGATGGCGGGGTGGTTGGGTGTGTTTCTGCTTTAAGTAGCAGCGGCATCTCTCTGTAACGGTGTGCCCAAGTGTGCACCCTAGGCCTTGTTCATGTGAGGGCAGTATACATCGACTGCATAATGGAGACTGATGTGGCGCAGTGTACCTCTGGTGACATTGGGCAGTTGCAAGTGCTGGCAGAGTGGTGGTTCTAGTGTTATATCTAGTGTTTTAGCAACTCTGAGCGGAACGGTGCACATTTGAGTGAACCCATCATTCCCTTATCTTGTAGCATATTGACCCAGAATATCCCGTCTCGCCTCTGTTTCATGTTCATTGTATCTAGCTTATGGCATGAGTTATTCGTGCCTTGTTTCCGTCACGTTAAAGCATTGCTTGTTTCCCTCTATCACATCATATCATACTCCTGGTATTGCCTATATATCCTCCTAACCACGGAATGTTTTCATGCCATTGGGAGGGTGAGACGACTGCTCCAGCATACTCTTAGGGAACCTTTATACNAGATGAAGAGATTGGAGGAGGAGATGAAGAAAGTACAACAAGAGGAGGAAGAAAGAAGAAAAGCTGCTGAAGCAGAAGCGGCAGCAGAAGAAGAGAAAGAGAGGATGAGGATTGAGAGTGGAGAAGGGAGTAGTGGTGGCACGATGACGAGGGAGACAGATACAGGGCTGGAGAAGAGGACCAGCGAGTGGGTCGCTAATTTATCGTTGGGAGAAGACGAGGAGGCGGAGTCCTATGTGACTAAGGATGAGAAGGCTGCGCTGGCCGCTGAGCTAGCAGCCATGACAGACCCGATGGAACGAAGAGAGAGGGAAGACGAGCAAAAGTTAGCATGGAAGTTGAGAATGAAGAGGGAGAAGAAGAGGAGGAGAGAGGAAGTGAATAAGATGACCGCAGCAGTGGCAAAGGTGCAGGAGTGTAGAGCGGAGGTGCTGGCCCAACCAGACGATAAGGCCAAGTGGGACAAAGTACTGGGGTACCTGGAGGTGTTGAGCAAGGCCTGGACGGAGGAGCGCCAGGCAAGCTGGAGCTAGGATGTAGCGTTGAGTGCCATGCGGTCAGGGTTTAGAGATTTTGCGCGCGAGATCGTCACCCATATTGGGGGCGAAGTGAAGCAATTGAGAGATAATGTAGGGAAGTTTTGTGAGGGCGCCATTCAGGGTGCCAAAGCTGTAGTCGCTGTAGAGGGAGAGCCCAGACCCCGTAAGGACCCAGTGAAACTCAAGTTCCCAGATGCGTATGGGGGGAAGAAGGAAGAGAACATTGACAACTGGGAAGCCAGTGTCAACAATTATATTTACTTGCAGCATATCCTAACAGAGGAGCAAGTCCTCGTGGCCTTCCAGGCCCTGAAGGACGAAGCGGCTAGCTTCGCCAGGTCTCTCGCGCGTACAGCTGGTTGTGAAAACAACTTGGTTGCGTATTCCAAAGTCACTCCTCTTTCCCAATTCCTCAAGCTCCTCAAGGAGCGGTTCGCTGACCCAACGCGAGGCATTAGAGCCTCTGATAAGCTCCAAACGATCCACTCCCGGCAGTGGAGGAGTGCCAAGGCACTCAAGGGTACCATGGACGACTTGGTAGYCGTCCYGGACCACGRGGTCACTGAGCCCCAGTTGGTCCAGTTGTTTTATCGTGCCATTCCAGAGGCCCTACGCGGGCATTTCTTTGACAAATCTCAGTAGGCCGGCATGACTTACGATGTATTGAGGAGAGAAGTCGTCCTGTATGAGTTGAAGTCTATGCCAGTTACCACTTTCTGGCATAAGGACCAAGAAGTGGAAAGATCGTACCATCTCGGGCCAAGTCAAGGCCATAATCACTTGATCCGAACATTAGAGGAGGGTGGTACAGAAGAGGTCCCATATAATCAGATTGAGTGGGGCCTAGGGGAGGAGTACAGTTGTGTAGGGCAGGGGAGGTCTTACGCTGCTGTCGCGGCCGGAGGGAGGCCGCAAGGTAGAGGAGGAGGCCATGGCCAAACGGGCCAGGCCATGGGAGGCCGAGGACCGGGCGCACAGGAGGTTGGCGGACAGGGAAACCGCCAAGCGGGAGGTAGGGGTCAAGGTCCCCCGTTAAATCGCCAGGGTAACCGGTCCCCACAACGAGGAGGTGGAAGGGCACCTCAAGGAGGATGGCATCCAGGCTTGCCGCAGGGCAGGCCCTGGGAAGACTTGGGCTTGGACCGACAATTATGGCAGGAACGCGTGAACATGGGTCAGCGTGTATTTTGTGGTGACCCGGCCCACGTTATCAAATTTTGTCCAAAGTATAGACAGGCCCGTTGGGCTGCCCAGCAGTCAAAAGGCAGCTGCCAGTAGGGGTCGCAACTGCCCCTACTTCAAGGCCATGTGGAGAAGTGAGCGCGCGCGAACAGGACACTCCCAACCCACATGAGCCTATGGCAGAGGTTGCAGGCCCGTACCTAGATAGTTGTCGAGAGATCGCTTGTGTAAGTGTCTCTTTAGGCACGTCCCTCACAGGTGTGGCAGAAGAATTAAAGGAGAGGTTGCCAGCCTGGGCCAAAATGAAGAAGGAGAGTAAAGGACAACTGATTTTGGTAGATGTAGAGGTGTTTAGGAGTAGGGTAGGGGCCCTTATAGACTGAGGGGCTACCCGTAGTTATATCAGCCGTAGGGCGCTGAAGAAGCTGAGGCTAGGACTAAAGGTCCAAAAGTTAATAGACCCTATAGTCAGTGTTCTCGCAGACAACCGCACAATGCGCGTCGAGGACTATGTAATGGGAGTCCAGGCATACTTTCGCCTAGAGAAGGATGGGAAGGTGGAGAGTGTTCTCCATTCCCTGACTCTCCTCGTACAATATGACCTTCCTTTCGATGTAGTGTTAGGAATGGATTGGGGAGAGGCAGCGGGGGCCACACTCCATCTGAGAGAGCATGAGTCTAGGCTCCCTGGTCCGTCAGGCGAAGTGAAGATTGCTCACCTGTTCCATGCGTCCGGTGTACATAACACCTTGGCGCATTGCTGTCTCAGTGCTTCCGCGTTTGCGCGATTAGTAAGAAAGGAGCAGTTAGAGGAACAGGTCTTTGTGGTGTATGTTAGACCTGTCACTGAGGGCCAGAAGAAGGATAACTCCACAGACCCAACAATTGCCAAGTTGCTGGAGGAGTTCAAAGATTTGACTGAATCGCCGACAGGAGTAGTGCCGCGACCCATCCAGCATAGGATAGAGATGAACACCTAAGGGTGCAGTCTACAGGATGTCCCCTAGAGAGTTAGAGGAGCTTCGCAAGCAGTTAGACGAACTCCTCAAGAAAGGGTGGATCAGGCCCAGTTCGTCTCCTTTTGGAGCACCCGTTTTGTTTGTCCCCAAGAAGGAAGGAGAGTTGAGAATGTGTATAGACTATAGGGGATTAAATGCGATCACTGTGAAGAATGCTGAGCC